AGCTAGTGATTTTTTTAAAAAAAAAAAAAAAAAAAAAAAGCAAATGAAATTTAAGCTACATGTATTTAAAAATAAGTCTTGGAGAAAACTGGAATACATTACCAAAGAATATTACAGAATTGGCCTCTCTGATTCTTTTGAATTTAACAGTTACCTATAACAATGAGAAATGACACAGGGGGGAAAAACTGTCTTTTCAACAAATGATGTCATTCCCACCTACATACACACGCACATACACACACTCTAAACAAGGACAATACTACCAGGTAAGATACAGATTACCTCCGGCAGCTTAAGGCAACAATCAGATTGCTAAGGAAATCTATACTATGGCACATATTTCTAAACTTTAGCATTTTATATTAAAGAAGGAAAAAGTGTTGTCCTTTACTGTTACAGAAACATCCCTGAACTGGTTCAGTCAGTAACCTCAGTAATTAATAAATATATTACTTTTAACATACTTACACCTATATATAGCTCTAGTTCAAGAGAATTATCTACTTAAAGAAATTAAAATTTTAAAACTAAAGTGTTTTAGTAGTTTGAGACAACCTATATCAAAAACTAATGTTTTTAGCATATGTAATTAGAATATACTAAGGACAACAGCTTTTAGAAAATATATCTAATAGAAAACTTATTTATACCTACCTGTTACTTCTTTTAACTGATTTGTTCTGCCATGGTGGATCTATCACAATTACATCATATGTTTTCCTACCTAAGAACAAAAACACAATTTCAGACACTACCTTCATGAAAACTACCTTCACTTTAAAAACTAAACACGTTCTTCAAAACTGAAGTACATTCACTACCTACAAAATATAATGCAATGCAACAGAGGATTTGTGGCATTTGTTTCAACAGAACAACTTATCTAAAAATACTGAGACTCCCCATTTAATTTAGTACCCCTGGGATTTTAACATTTCACCAACTACAATTTTTACAGAGACTGTCCGAAAATAACTACAGCTCACTTAGCTGGACACCAATGATTTTAAATACCCTGTAAATCTTCAGAGCAATATTAATGTGGTCCTTTCAAACCTCAGGGATTATTTGCTTTATATTTTTTAATTTTTATATGAAATGAACTTTCAGTCTTATAACTGATATTTTGCCCTAAGTCTACTAGTGTCCTTTTTTCTGGTCCTGGATCCCAATCAGGATCACACATTGCATTTAGTTGTCATGTCTCCTAAATCTCATCCAATCTGGGAAAGTTCCTTGGTCTTTCTTTGTCTTTTATGATCTTCACACTTTTGAAGGCTATTGGCCAGTTATTTTGTAGAATGTCCCTCAGTTTGGGTGTGGTATTTCCTCATGATTAAATTTTGGTTATTTTTGGCAAGAGTACCAATGAGGTAATGCCATGTCCTTATTAAAACAACACATCAGGAAATACAGATGTAGAAATGTCTCATTACTGGTGATACTACCTTTGATCACTAGGTTAAAGCATAGTCTACCAGGTTTCTCTAGTTTTCCCTTTGTAGTTAGTAAGTGTCTTGCAGGGAAGATATTTTAAGATTGTCCAAATATCCAGTGTCTCATCTTTTCACCCACTATAAATACCATCCAACTAGTATGGTATTTGCCAAATGTAAATTTTCCAGTTCCATCATTCCACCCACATTTATTAATTGGAACTTCACTGTAAGGAAGAGTTGTCCCTTTGCCTCCTTTGATAACCAAATATATTTCTGTAAATGGACAATCCCATAAGTAATCAAAAAAACACAAATTATAACAAGGAAGTAACGGTTTTCAAACTATTAGAGTAACAAAGATAAAAAAGAATGGGGGAAAATGTTCAAACGTATCATGATTTTCTCATTAATTTGTTATCCTATCATTTACCCTGAGGAATTTATGATACTGTGACATGAATAATCACTCATGTGTCAGATGGCTTAATAACAATTAAAAGAAGCTTTTTGTTAATACGCTGTTATTTTAAATTTAAATTTTAATGTAAAATGTCCAAATCATAATAAACAGCAGATTCAATTCAACTTGATCAATACCTACATCATACCTGAGAATACTGAGTTGTAATTTATTAAAAACATATAAATCACGGAACTGAATTCCTAATGCAGATTATTTCACTTAGCCTTCAAAACTGCTTCAGAAGTAGCTATAATCATATCCATTTTATAGATTAGGAAACTCAGGCTCAGTTTTGTGACATACCCAAAGACTCACAGTTATTTAAGTTTCAGAATCTAAGTTTCAGAATCTGGACTTCAATATTTATTTTTGACTTTATACAGGAAACTACTTAAGAAATTTTATACAATGAACTTGAACACCAGCTTAAAATGTAACCTAAAAGGCTAAGAGTTAATATTCATATGTGAAGTGTTTCTATTTGTTATGAAGAAAAGTAAAGTTATTTGATCAAACTCAGTTGTATCCTGAACTCCTAAGTACGAAGCTTCAGATGATGGATGGATGTCAAACAGTGCAGAGCAGTGTCCTGTTTTTCAGAAAGTGGATGAAGAAAGCCACTTTTTAAACCTTCCTGGATTATCTGTGAAGATCCATCCAAACTCAGACCCCTGATCTGTAACTCTATTTGGTCTCTTAGGGACTAGTTTTTGACCCTTTGTTCATAATAAGAATTTAAAACATTTATAAAGGCAAAATTCAGCATTTTAAAATTGAATTTAGAAGCAAAATTACAATGAGAAACTTCAGTGTTTACCCTATCCTCATATAATGTTTATCCCCATTCAACATTCAAACTAGCTCTTGACTTCTGAGGCCACAGAAAAATTATCTTTTTCTAATAATACACATAATAATTACTTACAATTCAGAAGTGGGCGGATACAAGAAATATCAGACAAAAGAAAACTGCTTTTTGGTGGCACCAGGTATTTCTGTCCCATTAGAGTAATCATTTTTGTGAACCTAGAGTTGTTTTCAACAATCCGTGAAAATAAATCCTGCTCTGTAACAGACATATCATTTTCCATCAATTGTAATGTCAGAAGTTCCATTTCATTCAGAGAAGGGAAATGCTTTGCCATTTCGCATAATTGTGACAAATTGCAGGTATCAAGTGGTAAAGTAATGGGCTCATTACACTTGTCCTGTTTTTCAGAAAGTGGATGAAGAAAGCCACTTTTTAAACCTTCCTGGATTATCTGTGAAGATCCATCCAAAATCAGGCCCCTGATCTGTAAGAGAATTTTTTAAAGAATATTAAAAGGTCACTGACATTAAAACAATTTTCTAAATAATGAAATTTCTACTATGCTTTGAATATGTAAACTTTTATGGATTGAAATCAACATTCTTAATGCTTATAGGAAAATAATTTTATACTACAATGAAAAGATAAGAATGTGTGAGTATACCGTAGAACTGCGGTTTCCTAATTGGGGAATGATACAAACCTCATTAGTTCACTGAAAATTAAATAACCAAACAGTATATAAAAGAAAATATATCTTTAAAATAATTATAAAATGAATTTGATAGTATGTTTCTAGAAGAAAGTGTAATCTCTAATCTATAAAGAGAATTAAATTTAAATCACAAGATTTCATCTTAAATTTTACTAGTGACTTAATTTTATTTTATTTTATTTTTTTAAATATATCTTTATTGATTTCAGAGGGAGGAAAGGAGAGGGAGAGAGAGATAGAAACATCAATGATGAGAGAGTCATTGATCGAGCCCACAACCCGGGCATGTGCTTGACCGGGAATCAAACCCCAATCGCCTGGATTCTAGGTCGACGCTCAACCGCTGAGCCATGCCTGGCCGGGCACTAGTGACTTAATTTTAAAATAAACATACCTTTGATTTTATAAAATATAGCTTGAATTATTAAAAAAAGAACAGAGCCCTGGCCAGTGTTGCTCAATAGTAAGAGCACTGGCTCACGTACCAAAGGGTAACAGGTTCGGTTCCCAGTCAAGGGCATGTACCTGGGTTGCAGGTTCCATCCCTGGTGTGGTTGGGACACATGCAGGAGTCAACCAATTGATGTGTCTCTCTCACATTGATGTTTCTCTCTCTCTCTTCCCCTCCTTCCCTTCTTTCCACTCTCTCTAAAAATCAATGGAAAAAAATATCCTGGGGTGAGGATTAACCAAAAAAAAAAAAAAAGGAAAGAAAAGAAAAGCAACTAAAGAGTGAACATATAAACAAAGTTTTGCAGTAATGCAACTACAATAATTATAAAAATAAAAGCCAAGTTCTGCTTTCAGAATAGATGGAGTGCACTTCATCTGAAATTACGTCTAAAAGTTATTTTTTAAAAAGGCCTTCAGAGCAGTGTTCTCTTTAAAAAGGAGAAGCAGATGACTGCTCCAGCTAACTGCCTTGAGAAAGCTCCCAGGCAGCAGCACAGGGAAGGACAGCCATTCAGAGTCCAACAGTCTCTCGGACTTGAAGAGACAGAGCCGGGAGTCTGCAAAGGCCAAGCAGGTGGAGTATGCAGAGTAGGTACCACAGAGGAGGGAGCTGCAGAGAGAGAGGTCTTGAAAGCTACAAAGGGTCAAGTCTCCTGTTCAGTTTTGATCAGCACATACATTTGATGAAAGTACCCAATGTCAAGGAAAGGATGAGAAATGATCAAAGGGAACAATCCCCAGAACTCATACAGGTCTGGGAACAGTTAGTGCTCCCACTGGCCAAAATGAAAAATCTTGTAATTCACAGATATTGCCTCAGTAATGGTAAAAAAAGCAAAAACAAACAAAAAACTCTAAAGTCTGCTCCAGTCCTAACTAAAAAAGCTTAAAGGAAGTCTCAAGAGGATAAACCAGTTTCAAAATAACTTTGTCCAAGAACAAAGCTCAAGAATATTTATAGAAACATGAAAATATCAGTATCCAACAAGCTAAAATTGAAACGTCTTACCAAAAAAAAAAAAAAAGCCTGCCAGGAATATAAAGAAGCAGTAAACTGCAACACGTTACAAGAGAAAAAGTCACGTTACTCAGTGGAAGCGCACAGGAATGACACAGATCATACAATTAGTAGGAAAAGGGTAGGTTTATGTGTAGCCCATTTTTAAAAAGATTAGGAGAAGAGGATGTTAAGGCACTATAATCATATTCATATGTCCAAAATGTAAGGGGGAAATGAGCATGTTAAGAGACATGGAAACTATTTTATAAAAAACATCGAATTCAGTGTCTATAGGAAAAAGCTACAATGCAGAAATGAAAAATACACCAGACCAGATTAATAGCAGATTAGACACTGACGCAGAGATTGATGCACTTAAAAACACTGCAATAAACTTGTCTAAAATAAGGGGAGAGAAAAAATATTTGATGAAGTAATCACCAAAAATTTCTAAATTTGCTGGAGACTATGAATTCACAGATCCAGAAGCTCAACAAAGGAAAGAGGAGAAGGAGCAGGGGGCAGCGACTACACTAAGGAATATCATAATCACACTGCTGAAAATCAAAGATAAAGAGAAAAATGTTCAAAGTAGCCAGAGACTTCCACCTCCAGCCAATAGTAAAGTAACAGCAGCTTGCAAGACTCTAGGGCAACAAAGGACAGTGAAAGAAACCATAAGTAAACCTATGACCGCCCCCACCAGCAGGCCACAGGAAGGTGGAATCCAAGCGGAGCCTGGGAGTCAACAGGAGAGGATCCAGAGCTGAGAATTTGGAGCAGCCAAAACCAACAGAGTTCACAGGACAGAGTACCACAGGTGAAACAACTGCACAGAGAGAAAACTCCATAGATCGGCAGGTAGTCAAACTAGAGAAATTCCCCTAAGTACGGATCAGTGGAAGCGTGCAAGGGAACTGAGACCAGGAGAACAACCACCCAAAAGGACAGAGAAGAAACAGTGTGGAGCTCACACATGGCCAAGAATAGTGCCTGTTTCCACCACTCAGACTAGAAAACCTCATGATTCACAGGGCAATTTGGGAGACAATTCACCATGAGTCTCTCCATGTGAGCAGAGGCAATGACAGTTTTTGTTCCAGAATAAATTTTTAAAGATACGTGTATAACATGGAAGATGGAAATTATGTCTCCTTCCAGAGCAGAGGGGAGATCTATCTGCTATCCAGGCAGAAGGCTGAACAAATCTGCTTGTAACCCATTTAAAAGATTGGGGTTCCCTAAGCTTGGTTTCTTTGGCCATGAATCAAATCTACTGCATGCACAGCATCCAATGAGGCTACTCGGCATCGTTGCCAGGGGACTTGGAGTAAAAGAAAATCCGTGAACATAAAGCATGTGATTCCTGCTATGCAGGGAACAATAAAATCCTTATTTTAATAAAATCTTAGGTCTGAACTTGCTAATTTGTTAGCTTTCTAATAGGGTAAAAGCTCAGATCTGTGAGTAGTCCTTAACAGGGTATTGGGTAGATCACAGATCATGCATCAGTAAAAGAGGACATTAGCCTTAGGCTAAACACAATTTCAAACTCACTTGCAAAACAACTTACCCAATTAAGACCCAGAAGTTCCAAACAACACTATCAACCAACTTGATCTGACATTCACAGAACACTGCATCCCACAACTATACATTACATATTCAAAAAGACTATACAAGACAAAGGACCTGAAGAGATACTTCTCCAAATAGGACATACAGATGGCCAATAGACATATGAAAAGATGTTCAATGTCACTAATCATCAGAGAAATGCAAATTAAAACCACATTATCACCTCATGCCTGTCAGAATGGCTACCATCAATAAATCAACAAACAAGTGTTGACAAGGATGTGGAGAAAAGGAAACCCTCCTGCACTGTTGGTGGGAATGCAGATTTGTGTAGCCACTGTGGAAAGCAGTATGGAGTTACCTCAAAAAATTAAAAATGGAACTGCCTTAAGAACTAGCAATTCCACTTCTGGGAACATATCCAAAGAAACTTGAAACACTAATTCAAAAAATACATGTACCCTATGTTCATGGCATTATTTACAATAGCCAAGACTTCGAAGCAGCCCAAGTGTCCATAAGTAGGTGAGTGGATAAAAAAGCTGTGGTACTTTTACCCAATGGAATACTACACAGCTATAAAAAAGAAGGCAATCTTACCTTTTGTGACAGCATGAATGGACCTGGAGAGTATTATGCTAAGTGAAATAAGCCAGTCAGAGAAAGACAAGTACCACATGATCTCACTTGTATGTAGAATCAAATGAGCAAAATAAACTGACAAAATAGACTCATAGATACAGAGAACAGACTGAGAGCTGCCAGAGGGGAAGGGGGTTGGGGGGCTGGGTGAAAATGGTGAAGGGATTAAGCAAAGAAAAAAACTCACAGACAAACACAACAGTATGGTGATTACAAGAGGGAAAGGAGGGTAGGGGAGATAAATGGGGGGATAAATGGTGATGAAAGGAGACTTGACTTGGGGAGGTGAACATACAATACAATATACGGATGATATACAATTGTACATCTGAAACTTATGTAATTTCATTAAGCAATGTCACCCCAATAAATTCAATAAATAAATAAATAAGTAAAAATCTAATAAATAAGTAAATAAAATACTACACAAAATTATATAAAAACAGTACATGGTACACTCACAAAGAAAACTCATGCTGGACCATAAAACAAGGCTCAATAAATTTAAAAGGAATGAAATCATCAGAGTATATTTTCTTATACCCCAATAGATTTAAGTTAAAAATCATTAACAAGAAGATATTGAGATAAACCCCAAATATTTGGGAATAAAATAGCACTCTTCTAAATAATTCACATAGGTCAAAAATGAAATCATAAGGAAAATTAGAAAATATTTGGAACTGAATGAACGGGAAAATATAAAGCAATGATTCAAGGGAACCTACAGCTTTAAGTGCTTATATTAGAAAAGAAAAAAAGATCTATATTCACTGACCTAAGAGTCCACTTTAAGAAGTGTTAAGGCACTTAATGCTGAATTATACACCTAAAGAAGGTGAAAATGGTAGATTTTGTTCTGTATATTTTACCACAAAAAAGACAGGGGGGAAAAATCTAATGTCATTCCATCACATTAATTCAACATGTCCAAAACTGTACTTAACTGTCATGCCTCCTAAGCCAAATTCAAACCCTGTTTCCCATTTCAATCAAAGGTGTTCCTTAGAGAGTTTAGCTTAACATATTTGCATACCCTCTGTTTTCTATTGGTTTTTAACTCCTAGATCTCATTTACCTCTAAGTTCCAGAAATACATTCTCCACATTATTCATGCTTTCTTCTGCCACTCTCTTAATAAGTTGTTTTGGCTATAGACGATAGGCTTTTATAACTTGTAAAATTTATAAACTTAACCAATATAACAAGTTTGCTTATGTTAAATATGTAAAATAGGAGTATATGAAGTTTTAATAAAAACTGGTTTAAACTGTTCATTACTATAAATGTAATAATAAACTACTCCACTATTAAATTCTAACCCTGATCACATGATTGCTTGATTTTAAAGAACACCTTTATTTATGTTGTCTGTTTATTTACAGTACTTCACATTAATCTTATGTTATCGAAGAACATTTATTTCACAGCTTACCTTTTCATGGTACTCCATGGCATCCAATTCACCTTGATTGAAAACACACCTTTTACGCTTCTAAAGAGTAAGTTACAGAAAAATTTTATTTCCTGCCATCTATCACAATATTAATATTTTGAAATTTTTTTTAATCACATTTTCCATATTATGCATCTCAGTCTTTAAGAGGTAATAATTGACTATTAAAGTCAAAATCAGTGCAGAGGGTATGGAGAAAGGATACAAAAGCTTTCCCAAGAAATAATTATTGCTTTCACTACAAATTTAATAGGTGATAAAAGGTCACCTCAGCCTTATCTGCTATTAGTAAGAAATAGTGCCAAATGATAAAATGTAGCACAGACATCCACTTGACACAATAAAACTGTGACATTCTATAAACAGTCACCAGTGTCATCTATCAGATGATATATATAACTATTCTGAACTTTCTTCATTTCTGAAAAGAACTATTATCTATGTATTATCACCTAAAAAACTTTCCAATGTACTCTTAATAGTTGTTTATAATTGACCTCAGGGTTGGGTACAAATGAGATATATTAACACTCTTCTATATCTAACAATTCCATAGCAAAGAACACATAAGAGAGTGCAATACAGAGCCAGGGACTCTGTACTTTTTATTGCTGAAACCTCAGTTCTTACAGGGTAGCAAACTCCAAGCAGGCTAACAATAAATGTTTGTTGGCTGGATAAATAAGTGGACTTAAGGTTAAGCTAACTGCACAATTTGCGGTAGCATATCAGAAATAAAGTAAGTTTTGTCAAGATAACATTCATTACATATGCTTACAATTTTCTATATTAAAATGAGAAATTTACCCATCATATGATTCCTTAACATTAAAATATCTAATAAAATACTTAAATTCCTAAACATTAGAAGACAATGCCCATACTTGGTAAATAAAGTCCTTTACAACTGTTTATTATCTGCCTGAATTAGTAACAGTAATAACAAATTACCTACATACTATATTACTGAAAGCTCAGAAATATTTTCTGTGCCTGACACATAGAAGATGATCAATAAATATTTGCTGAAAGAAAAAAAACACATGTACAAGAAAAAAATCACGATAATATTAAAATGTCTACTTCAGGTACTTAAAACAATGTAATAAGTTATCTCTATTACTTTCCTTATTCTAATTCTCAATGTGCTTCTTATTTAATATCTTTCTTCCTTTTACAATTATAAGATCCATGAGGGCAGGGATTGTATAGCAAAGATTGTTAGCAAATAGTTAAAAATTACTGGAGATAAGCTAAGGCCTTCTTATGCTTTATTGATTCTTATGCTTTATTCTTTATACTTAGTAAATCACAAGATACTTGAGATATTGGAATAATAAATTTCTTTTGTGTTTTTGGTAGAAATATAAAAATTTCTTAAAACTTTCTACCTTCCCAAGAGTAGAAATGGAGATTTCTTTTTTAACACCATTCATTAGATCTTCCTTTCCATTATTTTGTTGGCATTCCTTGTGAATAGCTGAAGTTATATAAGGTTTAGTGATCTCAAACAGTTCAGATCGAAAAATATATTTTTGTATGAACGTTTCACAATTTCCTCCATCATCATTCTCTGGCTTAGTGGGAGAGTCAGAAGCAATAAATTTAGCTGAGGATCCAAAAGAGGACACAGAATCAAGGTGGGCAGAAGTAGGGGGTCCATTCTCACTGCAACAAGGCTCATGATGCTGGTGAACTTGATAGTTTATCTTGTTAATAAAAGAAAGATGATCCAGTAACCATCCTGGTGACAGCTGGTGCACCACAGACATTCTTTCTTTAAAAAAAAAACACAAAAAAAACACTGGGAATTAACGATTAGAAGTAAAACCCAACTTTCCTGATCAAGTTCTTAAATGTCCTGTATTTCAATAAAAATATACTTCATACACAAAGGGAGATTTGACGTGCAGGTAAATAAACTTGACATGTACACAGAAGAGAATTTAACATTCATGATATGTAGCAAGTCTAAGGAAAATTACAATGTTTTAATATAAACTTTCAATAACGGGGTTGGTAATTCAAAATGCCCACAACACTCTGTAGGTACCAGGCAGTGCCTGTCTGAGTTCAAAGAGAAGCGGGAGTGTCCTGTTTTTAGCACAGCAGTCTATGCCCACTGCACCTCTGACTCGCTCCTACTTCTCTGCTTCATACCAGCCCCGCTCCTAACCACTTCTATTCCCCGCAGCTTTTCACAGGACACCACCAGGCTAGAGGGTTGGAAAATCCTAGCGAGCAAATTCTGAGCCTAACCTTGGCGTCGGCCACACCAGCGCGATCTTCCGAACCGACGGCGCCCAAGCTCAGCAGCCACTATGGCCTACCTCACCGCTTCGCTGGTCAGAAAGTGCATACCACCTTCCCAGGTTTGCATCATGTAAACAGCAGCCGCCTAAATAGTGGTCATGAATGACACCCCTTTCAGCCCAAATGGGAAAAAAATGCTCCTTTTCTGAGTCCATGGGCGCAGCCATGTTGTTGTACGGACAAAGCGTTACCAGGGCGTCTTAGAGCGCTCGGCCCGCTACTCCGCGACTTAGAGCGTTCGGGTCCTAAGAGCTAAACTTGGGAATCGACCAGGCTCCGTAAGGGACTCACAGTGTCCAGGAGACGCCAGCGTAGCTGGAGAGACGGCGGGACGCGACATACGCAGATTTCCCGCGACGAGCAGCTCCAGGTAAGAGAGGCGCAGGCGCGCGAGCGCAGTGCACGTGATGACGTCAGCATCCGCGGAGAATTTAAAATTCTAACGGCGCCAGTGGGTAGGCGGAGTAGCTGGTGTTTTGGCGGCTCCCGTCCTGTCTTGCTGATAACTGCACAGTTTACGGAAATTCGGTTTCTGAATCCTGTCAGAAAACTGGAGGAAAGGTAAATAATTACTTTGGGCTGATTTTGTGGCGGCAGTACTGGTCTGGAGGGAGAAGGCGACAGCTAGCGCGCACAACTTAGATACAGGCCCTGCCGGGCAATGTTTCAGTGTCTGCGGCTGTGGGACACCTCGGGCCCGGATCTGCCAGGCGCTCGTTACCCGGAGTCCAGTAAATTTCTGCTGGCAGGGATTTCCCAAGGGAAAAGGGGATGGCCTGGGGGACGCTGATGGGAAGAAGAGAGACTGGAAACCGGAAAGGGGGAAGAATTGATGGGAGCAAGGATAGGAACTGTTTGCTGTGTTTGAGGTACTAGTGTTACATCCGAGTGATCGTGTAAGTATCTGGAAGTCTTCATCTTAAGTCTTAAGAGTACATTTCAAGTATTGATTGGGAGTGAGCATATGGCTTAAAGTGGAAAGTTGCATGATGCAGAAGCGTATATTGAAGAAGAAATACATGGTCAAACCAAGAAACTGACATGAACAAAAAATTCCGAGATGTACTAAATTACAGCAGCCAGAGAGTGAGAGAAAGAAACAGAAGTTAGCCTGTTGATAGCAATGGACCAGCTAACAAAAGACTGCTCAGATTCATCTATGTTTGTGGGAATTTAGTATTAACTCCCAGGGAAAAGATTATTTTAAAGGAACAATGGAATTTGACTGCCTTTCTGTTTGAGGATAAAAGATAATAGTTGGTGCTTAATAGTGCAGCCTGGAAAGATTTTTTATTTATTTATTATTGTTCAGTATATTACAGATGTCCCTTTTTCTCCCCATTGACCCCTTCCACCCCGCCCAACACCCCTCCTCAGTTCCTCACCATGCCATTGTCTGTGTCCTTGGGTTACATATATGCATATAAATTCTTGGGTTAATCTCTCCCTCACTCACCCCTCTACCCCTCTCCTTCCCTCTGAGATTCGTCAGTCTGATTCATGCCTCCATGTCACTGAATCTATTCTGTTGATAAGTTCATTAAGTTGTGTTTTTTTTTAATACCGAATTCATGAATGCAGGTCGTAAGCATGAAGCGCAGTTCAGTTTCTACTGGTGGTGCTGGCCGCCTGTCTATGCAGGAATTAAGATCCCAAGACTTGAATAAACAAGGCCTCTATACCCCTCAAACGTAAGTATCTCATGCCTTATCCTCTTGGACAAAGAAATCTGTAAAGGTGGTTAATACAAAGCTGTATTGAGTAATGTGATGAATCTTGTCTCTTCCCAGTGGCACCTAATTTGGGGTCGATGAAAGCATATTACTAAGATGTTGTACTTTATCTCATTTGTTCCTTAAATCTCAAAGCTATGTCTTTTGCCAGGCAACTCCTAAAATTAATTCCCTTTGGCACTCATTCTCTTTTCCTCCTTTATTCTAGAGCTGCTCCGTTGAGTAGGCTCTGTGCAATAACTTTTCAATTTACTGAGGTGTATTCAACTAGCAAAGTTCTCAAAGGTATTATTTGCTCTAACAATAAGCTGCAGTTTAATCACAGCCTGTAGAACACCACTTCTCCAAAATATTTTCTCAAGATTCACTGGAAAATGGTGTCCAAAAGAACTTGTAAACTATTTTTTCCCTATGAGTGATTTTCTTCCAATTAAAAGAAGGCTATTAGTAAACCCCTGTAGAGGTTTGTGAATCCTTCTCTAATACCAAGTGACAAGAAGAAAATTCTGAAATGCTCTAAAATAAAATTACATCTTACTGTGGCATGAGAGCGAGAGAAAGAGACTATTAGCCTGTTGATAGCTGTAGACAAGCCCTGACAGAAGGTTGCTCACATTTCTGTATATCTGTTGTAATTTAGGATTAATTTCCAGGTGGCTATTTCTGTGAATATCCAAAAGAGAATAACCAGGTGCCTCCATTTGTTAATTACGTATAAACTTTTTAATCTGCTGCCCACAGCTAATTCAAAAGAGCAGACGCTTCTCTGGACCTATCCCAGAGCTGGCCCCATTTCATCTTCTACCACCCCTTTTGCCTGTAGCGAATGTAAATTCTTTCAGAATAGCTTACATCTCCCACTCCTCACCCCAACATTTGATGTATAAAACGGCTTAACTCCAGGCCATCAGACATGTTGTCTTTTCATCTAGCCATGCTTCTGGTGGTTCAGACTTCGTGCCCCTGGACCTGGTCTTTTTTGCTAGCAATGGCCTAATAAATCCTTTCTTTTCAAAAGGACTTTCAGCCATGAAATTAACATTTTTTTGTTTAATACAAGGTACAAGCTTTGTTTACTAACTGTTCTTAAATTGCCTATATCTACATAGTATGAGCCTCTGCTACTTTTAGAAATTCTTATGAAGTCAGAAAAAAATTTTGTACTGTTTGTTGCATGTTACTTATGCCAAAAGGTTTTTCTTGAATTATATTAGAAGGGAAAAGGCTACCATTGTCAATGTTTTAGGTTTATAATTTAGATAATTTATGTTAAGTGTAGCTGTGTTCTGATAAAGAGTAGGCCTCAAAAAAATTTTAATGTAGCAATCATCCTACTATTGAAAATATTTTTAAGTTTTTCTTTTCCTTTAAAGGTGTTATCCATAAATGTTCATAGTTTAAGATCATTGAAATCATAATGAGATATGGGTTTTCAGCTTTCTTCTTAGCATGTTAGCATTATAATTTATATTAGCCTATTCCATTTATTACAGTTATGATTGCTACTAACAGTTTTCATAATTTTGGATTATTTTTATAGGTAATAGGGAAGAGGTTTAGTTCTGACATATTTCCAAAAGTTTCTTGAACTAATATTTTTTATTATTTTAAAGAGTTTGTTTTCCTTCTTTTCTTAAAGCAAAGAGAAACCAGCCTTTGGAAAGTTGAATATAAACAAACCCACATCTGAAAGAAAAACCTCTGTATTTGGTAAAAGGTAATGATCTTTTTTATTAATTCTAATGAAGGAATTCTTAAGCCGTGCATTGAGCTAAATGTTCTCTGCATACAAAAAATTAAATAACATGGTCCCTTTCAAGAGAAAGTTTAAATCTAGTTTTCCTCTGTTTCAAATGGTTAGAATGGTTATATCTGCTTTAGATGATGCTAAGAGATATATCAGCACAGTCAGACTACTATTTTATTGTTATAAGTGAATAGTTAATTAAAAATTTTATACCTAACTTTCAAATACTGTGGAATCATAACATTTAAAATTAGGAGGAACCATCATCTAGTTAAATATTTTAGTCCCAGACTTTTTTATACACTTAAATATTAACTCCAAAGAGCTTTTATTTGGGGGGCTGTATCTGTTGATATTAATCATATTAGAAATCAAAACTAAGAAAACTTTAAAGTATGTATTCAGTTTAAAATAGCAATAACATAAGTAACATGCTTTTAATTTTTAAATTTTTTTTGGTAAACAACTATTTCATTAAGAAGAGTGTCATTGTTTTACATCTTTGCAGATCTCGTTAATATATGACTTAATAGAATATAGCTAAATTTTCATATCTACTGCATTCAATCTCTTACAATATCATGCATCATATAGCCAGTCTCCAAAAAACTCCCAATGTAAACTCATGATGGAATGAGAATGAAAGGGATAAATAACATTAGTTTTTTATGAAAATAGTTTTGACTTCTCCTGTCTCCTAGATCACACTTTGAGAACCATTGCTAGAGTAGATTATTGGTTGCCTGGCCAGGAGGTGGAGCAGGCTTGACTATTAAGGGGTATAAGACTTTGGGGATGATAGAAATGTTCAATCTTATTGTGGTAGAGATTACACAAGTGTATACGTTGTGAAACCTCATTAAACTGTATATTTTATTCTAAGCATATTGTACCTCAATAAAGTTGCCTTTTTAAATGTTCAACCCCAAAATTGAAAAAATAAACTGTTCCTTTATCTCACCAAAACAAAATATAACTATGTTTTAAGACAAATCTGTTTGTTCAATTGATTTGAAAACATTCAGAGATGAAATATATGTTACTTAGGAAAAGTCTTTGCCATGAAACCAAGTTAAACTGTTTTCCATTTGATGAAAAATCTCACAGCATTTTTATAATGTAACTTTCACCTCAGAGCTAAACTTCAGAGATAATAATAATTATAAACTCTAACATTTGCAGAACATTTTTATAAGCCAGACATTGTTTTAAGTGCTTTATCTATATTAACTCTTTTTATCAATCCTCAGAACTGCTCTCTGAGTAGATAATTGTTATTGTCTCCATTTTATAGATAAGGAAGTTGAACAGAGAATTTAATTTACCCAAAGTCATACAACTAGTGAAAACACAGACTCTGGTTCTAGATCCTATGCTCTTGAACTATAAGTTAAATAATACAGTATTTAGATTGGTTGGGAAATTCTTTTATGATTCAAAAAGATATTAGTGTAGTTTTGTGTAGAATAAGAGCTGAGTCTATTCATGAATTTCTTTTCTGGGGGGAAAAAATTAAAGGTTAAGCAATAGCAGGATGCAGAAAACTGGTTCTCAAATTAGCAAATTGTGAAGGAAAAAATTAGCTAATTAATCAGGTTAGTGGAGTGAGAAGGGTCCAAGCCAAAGAACTTTAGAACCTGCGCAAACGAGAGCTTGAAAACAGCAAGCAAACTTGTAGGAAGTAATGAAGTTTTGATTAACAGTTCAGATATTACAGCTAAGTTCATTGTATAATCATCCCTAGGTATACTACAGAGATTAGTTCCAGGACCTCC